TTTGTAAAAGAATACAATTAGTCCTGATTTTCTCTCTCGAAATGAAAGTGTGAAATTTAATCTCACTAGGATGTAAGAGAAGAAAACTGAAATAAAAGGGAAGATCAGGCAGATTTAGATAAATGTCAACTCATCAGAAAAAGATATTAATCCCTCCAAGAGCCTGGGGTGCGTGGGGGTGGGGGTGGGCCGCGAGAGAGTGAAAGCCAACAGAGGCTGGCAGAGCCATTACGTCCTGTACCTTCCGTGTCATTTCCATTTTCGATGGCATGGGTTGACTGTGCGGAGACATTCTCGGTGCGCTCCCATCTCCCCTCCACCCACCTTTCAATTTTGGTTGCTCAAGTTATTTTTGCCTTGACAGGTTTTATAACATTCACTTCTGTTCTGCAAGCAGCGCTCACCTGGCTGCTATTCCTAGCCCTGTTCGTGAATAGGTTGGAAGATCACCAGCCCTCGTTCTCACAGAGTTCCTGTTTGACTGAACTTAGTTCTTCCTTTGAATCATCTCTTGATTGGCAGGGTTTGTCACTCAGCTCTTCTTCTAGGGAGAGCCGTGACTGTTTTACTTTCACACCTTCCTGCTGGGAAAGGACTGACTGGCCACCTGGCTGGTGACATAGTCTCAAGTCATGCTTCCTGCAGAGTGTTCTCTACGACCCACACTCCTCTCTCCCTCGTTCCCTCCCTCCATTCTTTTCTTTCTTTTATATTGGTGTGGCGTCTTATTTAGGGTTCCTACTGCTGCGAAGAGACACCATGATCACGACAATTCTTATAAGGCAAACATTTAATTGGGGCTTCTGGCATGGTGAGGCAAAGCATGTGTCTCTCCTTCAAAGAAGAGGAGAGAAAGTTAGCTATAAGCATCTCGACTTTCCCAGTCAACTCATAGCAGCAAAACATAGCAGCAAGAGAGTCACGGAGCTCTAGTCTCACTGAAGCTAAGGAAAGGTGAAGCAACACCTCCCTTTCATACCTGTTGTCTTTGACTTTGCAGCTTATTGGAGCTACATTTTTAGGAGGCTTCTTCTACAGCATGAGACATCTCAGAACTCTGCTTCTGCTTCTCAAAGTTCTTCCTTCCAAGCAGGGATCATCATTGGCACAAATGTAGCAGAGGGCCAGTGAGCCAAAGACATTGGATGGCCTTGATTCAACCAGTAGAGAAACAGAAGTGGAACTGAGAGAGGTCAGGAAAGAGCAGGGTTGAAGAAACAAAGACAGAAGTTCTGGGGCATTCCTTGGAGAGATGGAGACAGAAAGAAGGAGAAAGGGTAGGATGTGAGGGGCAGCAAAGTCTCCTACAGAACCTCACAGGCCAGAAAAGACTAGGGCACATCTGTAGGCAGAGGTCAGAAGTGAGGAGAGAAGGAGACATTAAAGATGGCAGGGAGGAAGGGCAGAGGCTGAGGAAAACAGAAGGCAAGAAAGGTAGACTCCAGACAGAGGTGGGGTGTACCATGGTAGAAAGGAGGATTCTGTCTTCCAGAAGTGGCCATGGTGGCCACACAGGCTCTCAGGAGAGGTCAGCAAAGACTCCCAAGCCCTCAATTTCTATATCAGAGATTGCATGGCTGTCAGCAGGAAGTCCAGGAGGATGCAGAAGAAAGGGCTATGGAGTGGATGGAAAAGTATCAAGAGCCCACAGAGTCAAAGAATAGAGGGAAGGGCTGGAGAGAGACCCACGAAGCCAGTGACAGGATCTCCTAGCTTGGCCACCTCTGCGGCGTACTTCATGCCATCTGAGCCAGGCACATCCTTGTTACCAGGCAGGCCCACTGGAGGGAATAATGGGACCAGGAACCGGAGGAACTTGAGATATTTTGATCACAATGGAAATTAAGCAGCAGGTCTGCTTGCCACTCTACATGGTTCTCTTGCATTTTTTTTTTCTGAAAATGCATTACTGCTTAATTCTAGGCCTGCATTCATTGTAAAGAGGCAGAGAGGCCTAAGGGGCCCTCTTGGGTCTGGATAAGAGTCAGGAATGTAGAAACAGACAAGCTGTAGTTCCCTGTACCATCAGGGCTTAACTGAGGTTTCCCTGGTGTGTGGTTGACCATCAGTTCTCATGGAGAGCGGTCATCTTAGGACATATATTGGAAGTCCCAGGAACATGGTCACTGGCCTTCTGGTGTTTGATAATCTAGGTTCAACTGTGTCCATCACCGCTACTGTAGATATTCTATCTGCTCATCATTCTCTCTGTTTAATAAAGAGCTTGTTTTCTCCCCACATGCCAAACCAACTATGAAGAACCAGGGACTCAAATATGTAAAACACAAACCCATCCCGCATCTGAGAAGCTTGCCATCTGAGGGCATTAAGAGGGGTAGCACTCTGAACAGCACAGAAAGAGGCGCAGGTGATGGAGGGAACTTTAGGGTACCAAGGGGACAGATATACCCATTTAGACCTGGAAGAGGAAGAAGCTCTTAGGCGTGGTATTTGACAAGTCTTAAGGAACCATTTAGTATTGGGAAGCAGAGCAGGGTAATACACTCAAGACCTAGAGGCAGGAAGATATCTGAGTTTGTGGCCAGTTTAGTCTATGTAGTAAGTTTCAACTCAGCCAAGGCTACACACACACACACACACACACACACACACACACACACACACACACACAAAGGTGAGGGAGAAGGCAATGATTCACAGGAGATTTTAGGAGACCCAGGAAAAGAAGGAGGCAAAGAAGAGAGGGCACAGAGAGCAAGGGAACATGTCACCTATAGAGTCACAGTGGTCCTTCCTTTAGGCCTGGGACACTAGGTGACCTTGAGGATACAGGTGGGTAGGCTTTTAACTACTTCACCAACAATTTGATGTTGGGCAGTGCCATGTCTGGGTTGTGGGAATGGATTCAAGGAGCAGAGGTTTGAGCACAGTTAGGAGAGCAAGGGTGTTATGGCCAAAGTTTCAGTGAAGGCTATATGGCCGAGCTCAAGCGATCCAGGTGGAGGGATGATGGGGCTTGCTGCCTGGCCGGATGGGAGGGGTAGATGTCTACACTTTCACCTGGAAGCTGTCCCTAGCTAGGGGCAACTCTTCATGGAGTTAAGGCCAGACTGAAGGGCAACGTAGGCGTGAGAAGTCACACTCTGGAAGGACCAAGGGAGATGTGTAGTGTACTTTGTGCTTGAAGAGGCCTCCTAGATTCTGGTTAAGGTCGTGGCTTGTGTGTCAGAACAGACCCCAAAGGAAGCCCAGCCCTTAAGAGGTTGTGAGAGGGAATTCAAGGAAAGTTTAAGCAGTGAAGGAATCCATCAACAACAGAAAACGGATAGACACGCAATGGAACAAAAGGGCAGTGGGAGTCTGCAGGGCTCACAGCGCTCACTAGAGAGCCTGTCCAACCAGGTAAGCTCTGGATTCAGTGAGAGACCCTGTCTCAAAAAATCAAGTGGAGAGCAATGGAAGAAGAACCCAACATTGACCTTTGACCTCCACACATGTATGCTCTCTCTGTCTCTCCCTCAGATGAATGGAAAAGGATAAAGAGACTCAAAAGAATGATCAGGGAAGTGGGTACAAAGAACAGGGCAATGAAAAGTGACATTTCCAGGGTGGGTGGGAGATGCCCTCTGCACTAACAGAGGGGAGGTCATTATCAGCAATTTCAAGAGCAGCCCGAAGGAGAATCAGGTGCTGGAATGTGAGAACGGGAAGGCGATAGGGACCATGTAGACTGGAAAGCTTCAGTCTGTCTGACGTGCTGGGCAGCCTCTCTCTGTAAGCCTCGTGTAGCCAAGGGTCTTCCATCTCGGAAGGGTCACTAAGCCCATCTTCTGTCCCTTTTGCTGGGCCTCCCTGGCATCAAAAGAGTTGTTCTAGGGTGTTTGGCACCACAGATCCTTGGTCAGGTCCCCCAGGTCATTTGGACAAGCATCTTGTGAGGTCATGGGGATGTCAACCTGAAAACCACAAGGAGTGGGAGGAGTTGGAAGAGGGACAGATGGACATGAAGGAAATCTAGCACTCATGTGCAACCTTTTCAAAAAGAATTTAAAAACAATACAACTCTCACCTCAAAGGAGAGGAGAGAGCTTATTCTAGAGCCAAATATGGGTGCCTGTGGGCCCGGAACTCAGTGTTAGGTTACCCTGAATTCCGTGTTCTAACGTGATAATGGCTTGATGAAGTTTTTTTTTTTTATAGAAACAGAATTTAAAATAAGCTACAAATCAAGACCCTTTAAAAATGCATTGGAGTAGGTCAAGTGTCCTCTGTTGCAGTCCCCACATCTTATCCGATGGCGTTCTTACTTAGCTTTTCGGTTGGTAGAAAATAGGGGTTTAAGTTAATGCTCTCAAAGCTGTCTTTACCTATTAGTCACTGGATGTTAGGCCGGGCACAAAGGCAGGCAAGGCATGGCTCTTTAGTGGTCTATCGATAGCCCGGGATGGAATGTGATTAGGCTCTGGACCCGCAATGTTCCAACCTCTCCAACTCCAATCTCTTCAATTAAAACATTAAAGTTGGAATCAGCTCTACTTAGCCTTAAAAACAAGTTTAGTTGGAGGCGCAACAACTTTAGGGAACTTTTCGCTCACGGGAGTGAGACCCAGCCAGGCCTGTGCTGCAGAAAACCAAATGCGCACAGCATTTCATTGTTGAGCCCACCAGCGTCTCCTGTCTCCTATAACGCGATGACTGCAGAAGACCAGGGCTAGACAGAGCCCGGGAATCTTCTGGCCAGTCCTTAAAGAGCTGGGGGATCTGTGTGTGGGTCACTTGCCCGTAGTACCCCTGAGAGGCTCAGAGGTCTGTAGTCCGGAGGACAGCAACCCAGCCAACCCCTCTGTGCCAAAAAAGCAGCCCAGAGACCTGTTCACGTGACCTTCCCCCAAAGAGCTGAGCAGGCTAGTGCTCTTTAAGAATCCTTTCACAGCTGAGGGACACAAGAACCCTCGGTTGCCAAGGGCCTGTCTGAGAGCTACTATGGTTGTCATGAAGTTTCATCTTCCTCCACCCACCCCTCCCCACTCTCACTGCAGGTATAAAGGCCATGTCCCCGGTGTGGCTTCCTCCTTCGGCTCCCCATATGGCAACACCACCTTCAAGTACTTCCAGGACCTCCGCAATACAGCCGTGGAGAAGAGCTATGCACTCCTCAGTGGAGGCCGCTTTCCCACCATCTACTCCCCTAACCCCGCCCTGGTGCTGGATAGCCAAGTGCAGAACTGGGATCGCTGGCTGCATCTGCCCATCTACACGCGGTTCAACCTGGACAAAGGGCGCAACTCCGAGATCACTAACTTCTACCAGGTGAGCTGCCCGCAGCCCCAGCCTGGAAAGGCCTGGATGGCTGGGGAAGGGTAGTGGTGCCTTTTTCAAAGTTTCAGGGCCCAAGGAGATCTTCCGTAGTCCAGGGGTTTCTGTGGTTCTGCCTTGCTCCGTCCACAGCCAGTGTACTTGGGGAACCTTCAACGAAGCCCCAGCCCCTTCCTTCACTCCCTCTACTTTTTTTTTATTCCATGGCTCTGTCTTAGTCTCTCTTGCTGTGGTAAAACACTATAACAAAAGCAACTTAGGGAGAAAAGAGTTTATTTGGCTTACATTTCTATATTATAGTCTACTATCAAAGGAAGTCAGGACAGGAACCTGAAGGCAGGAGCCGGAGCAAGAAGCCACGGGGGAAACGCTGTGTTTTAGCTTGCTCCCTGTGGCTGCTCTGGGACCACCTACCAGAGACAGCACCACCCACAAAGGCCTGGGACCTCTCACGTCAATCACCAATCAACAAAATGCCCCTCAGGCTTGCCTACAGGCCAAACTGGTGGGGGCTTTTTCTCAGTTGAGGTTCTCCTTTCCCAAGCGACTCTAGCTTGTATCAAACTGACGTGAAACTAGCCAGCTTGCTTACTTCTTCCCTGAAGAAAAGACCCAAAACAAACCCCAGGGAAAATCATACACAATCAAAGGCTCCACTGAAATTTCTTGGTACCCACTCACCCTCCACAGTTCCCATTCCCCTTAGAGTGTGCCCCAGGTCATCCTTAGCCCACATTGGACCAAAATGTCGGATGAAGAGATGAGGATGAAAGGGACCTAGCCACACCACTGGTACTTTTGCTTCCCTGGCTCATCAGGTGTTCCCAGTGCAGCACAGCATACAGGACTTGGTTGGAAAGAGGGTTTGGTTCATGCTAATAGGAGCCCTGTTCTTGGCAGCATTTTCCCTCATACCCCCTCCCTCCCTCCCTCTCTCTCTCTCTCTCTCTCTCTCTCTCTCTCTCTCTCTCTCTCTCTCTCTCTCTCACACACACACACACACACACACACACACACACACATGCACGCACGCACACACACACAGCCTGGTAGGAAGGACACAGACACTGCCTGATGCCAGAGCGGGGGACTTGTCCCAGGGAAGGACATTCCCCAGGGGCAGGATGAGTGGCCGATCCCAGGTTTTAAGAAGCTACGGGACCATCTCAGTGGGTCAGTGGCAGCCTTTCTCTTCCTTTTGACTCTCGCAGACACAGCTGCTCCAGGAGTAAAGAAGCAGAGCATGTGTGGACAGCGCTGTGCTCAGGGCATGCTTGTGTGGACAGCGCTGTGCTCAGGGCATGCTTGTGTGGACAGCGGTGTGCTTAGAGCATGCTTGTGTGGACAGCGGTGTGCATAGAGCATGCTTGGGTGGACAGTGGTGTGCTCAGGGCATGCTTGTGTGGGCAGCGGTATGCTTAGGGCATGCTTGTGTGGGCATGAGCCATTGAGGACAACAGCTGGCTAGCCATTGAGCTGAGTCCCAGGATCCCTGGAGATTCTGCCAGGAGCATGGGAGGAGACTTCTCACTCCTGACTAGGTACAGCCGGGAACGGGTGATGCAGTAACACCCCATTGTGTGTTCTTTGACTGAACTGTAGACAGTACAACAGCAGCGGCAGTACTACAAGGACAAGACTGGCACGGTGCCCCGCGTTCCCTACTTCGTGCTGCCCGTGAAGGAGCAGAGCCGGTACCCCCTACCCACCGACTTGTGAGTGTCCCTGTCTTCCTCCCTGTTGGGAACACCCATACACACACATCCACAGGGCACCCACTCCTCATCCAGCCCTAGAGCCCTAACACTCAAAACCAATTAGCCGCCTAACCTGTGGCGCCTGCTGTGCAGAAGCAGTTGCATTGCAGAGAAGGTCCCAGGCCCAGGACCTGGTGGAGGGAGTATGCCAGGAACCTGTGTGGGTACAATCAGGAAGTGCTGTCCTGACCAGGTGCATACTCCACAGCCTCTGCTGGTGGGAACCTGCCCCCTGCTTCCTCTGCAAAGGCTGGGTCTCAAAGCTGCACCAGTCCAAACCTGGAGCTGCTGCTGCCCTCTGGTGGTTGAATGGGACACTACATCCACTAGAGATGGGCTTGCCACCCCCACCTTCTCGCCCTCTCCTGTGGAGTCCAGTCTGGGTTGTTCTGGGAACCTACTTGCACACTAAGAACTTGAAAACATCTTAAAAGCTTAACTAACCAAGTAAAAACATGTAAGAAAGCATGTTACAGCCTAGCCCTCACGCCTGGGCTTATCTGGGAGAGCCTCGGCCCACCTCCAGGCCAGACCTATTTTTCTCTGTAAGGTGAGCCAGGCAATGAATGTCTTTCCTCTTGCCACTCAAGGGATCACAAGCTTATTCCTAGGCGACTGTGGCTTTGGTAGAGCGGTGGGTTATACCTGGTTAGAGACGCAACACTCCAAGCCCATTCGTTCTTCACCCATCTCTTGCATCCCACCTCCCTTTTCTGGGAAGGGGCTCTTAGGAGGTCAGTGGGCAGGTTTGGGGCTCCAACCCTCCCTAAGCCCTGTGTACCTCAAGAGCCCCGGCCTCAGCATCCAGCTGTCGATAAGCAACTGTTCCCACACCATTCGATAGATTTTGCAGACATTGTCCCACTGCCTCTAGAAGTGCCTCTCTGTGGATAAACAGGTAAACTGAGTCCAGCGAGGACCTCAGGAGCTTGTGCTCGGTGGCCTGGTGGCTGGGGTCCTAGTCTGGGAAGAGACCCACATCTGCTACCATCAACTCAGCCTCTGAGTTGACCTTCTTTCTAATGAGGCGATTCTGAGCGTGTCTCCATGGAGACAGGTCTCCTGGCATCGTGCCAGATGTGTTCTTCTTGAATCTTCAGAACCACTGGATCTAGTTTTTTTTTTTTTTTTCACAGAATTACCTGGTAGTCCATAAGACAGTGCCATGCCTGACCCAGACAGTTAATCTTAAGTGCCCAGGGAAGGTCAATGACCAGTTCTATAGCCTGGAGAGTCTCTACCTTTCTGGAATTCCATCACCACCATCACCACCATCACCATCACCACCACTACCACCACCACCACCATCACTACCATCATCACTATCACCACCACCATCACCACCATCATCATCACCACCATCACCACCACCACCATCACTGCCATCACATTCACCATCCATCACCACCATCATCCCTACCGTAGCATCACCATTGACTACCATCTCCTAGAACAGCTGAGTGTTTACTCCTTGCCTTGCTTTATGTTAGGTGCCTTCTCTGCGGAGCTTCATTTAGAACAAAGCCAATAGTGTAACAGTAACAGCAGCTCACTGTCACATGGGTTTGCTTCCAGCAGGATACCCAGGTCCATGTGACTTTGCAGATGTCACACTGCTGAACGGCCACAGGGCCACACAGCCCTTGTGGGTACAAGGGGTTATGGTGAACACTCTTTACCCTTCCCACCAGGCACACTGCCTGACGACGGCCCCATCCTTACCCCCAGGCCTCCTCTGAGCCCGAAGAGTAAGTGGCACCTTCTCAGAGTGTCCCCCGACTACCTGAAGCCCTACCAGACCTTCCCATCAGGGAAGAGAGTCTCCTCACAAGAGCGGCAACGGAGGGACCTTTACTTCGAGTTCAGAGCCTGAAACCAGGTGGCTGACACCAGGGAGCCTTGGCCTGACCAGGCTGGCTTGCTTGAAATAAAATCTTCAGCCACAACCACCCCATGTGCCTCTCCTTTGGATCTGTCACCATGCGTGAAGGTATTCTGAGCACCTGGGAGAGCCAAGCCTAAGAGAGTCAAGCTAAGACACAGTGTTAGCTGCAGTGGGCCACCCAACTGCTCCCAAGTTGAGGCAGGTGGGACTGGAGGGTCTGACAAAGGTCAGGGTCACGTGTCTGCCCAGGCGGGTCCCTCAGGCATGGAGACCTCACACCTGCTTTCACTGGCATAATTGAGAACACCCAGCCCGCGTCTGGAAGTGGGTGCCACGGCTCCCAAACAGCTGCCCTGGGTATTCACGCTTAGCCAACTTTTTCTCTTTTCTCGGTCTAGGACCCCAGCCTGTGGGATTTTGCCACTCACATTCTGAGTGGGATTTCCACCCTCAGTTAACTGACTCCACAAACACCCTCTCTGACGTATGCAAAGGTGTGTGTCACTAACTCCATAGGTGTTTCTTCGTCCACTCAAATTGACAGTCAAAATAAGCCTCACTCGTGGGAAGGAACTGTCCCTGGAGCCTTGGTGTTATTTAATTGACCTTTATGATAACTTGTAAGCACAGCGTCTCACTGAAGATGTGGAACTTTCAGGATGCTGAGAAAGTTGCCCAAGCACACACAGTAAGGAAAGGACACAGACAAGATTTGAACCAGGTTTTTGGGACTCCCCAGTTCTGGCTTCTCACACAGCCAATGTGGAGACATAAGGGGTCTTTATGAGCCAGAGGGGTCTGGCAGTGGGGCAGCTTTTGATGAGAAACTCTTTGAACATCAGTATTTAGCATGGACTGGCAGGAGCCAGCTGAGTGGGCATCTACCCTTAGGCTTAGGTCTTTTTTTTTTTTAAAGTTTTCTTGAGACAGGGTTTCCTGGAACTGCAGCCTTGGGTGTCCTGGAACTCGCTCCGCAGACCAGGCTGGCCTTGAACTCAGAGATCTACCTCCCTTTGCCTATCAAGTGCTGGCGCTAAAGGCATGTGTCACCACCACCCAACAAAGAGCTGGAGGGGTAAGCTGGAACCAAATACTCTTAATCTGGCCACAGGGAGTAGATGCCAAGGTCACAAGCCTAGGTGACCTTTGAGGGTCAACGTGACAGCTTCCAACCTCCTGGGAGACTTTAACAGGGCAGAGTAGGATGTGACAGTCCTATAGGTGGTTCTGGGGAGGAAATCTCCACTCAGGAGTGCGCTATACCATTGGGCTCCCCCAGCCTTCCAGCCCCTCCTGGATTAGATCAAAGCGACTTCATGGAGCACTGGGTGTCTGTTGCCTCCAAACGGGTGAGTCAAGACATAAGACAGAACTCAGGTGCACACTGTGAGAAAGTAACCCTTCCGTGCTCATCTACCTCCCTTGGGACCACAGAGATGAGAAAAACCACGTGCCCAGCAGGTAGCCCATCTGGCAGCTCCCACAAGTTCCCATGGTGCACTTCTCTTGTGTCCCCGAGTCTCCAGCCAGCTGGACCCCAAAGTGTCCCCAGAGTGGCCAAATTCATGGCAGGGCTTGGCTGAATAGCAAAGCAAATAAGCTCTGAATGCTGGTCACACATGGTCCCATCCCCAGAGCCCAAGAGTGGCAAGCAGGGCCAAGATGTCTTCTCTGTGGGAGGAAGACAGAGAAGCCAGGCGCCAGCTGGAATGACAGCTATGCGCACATCCCTGACGCTGCTCTGGGAGAGGATGGGTCACGGGTGGGCTCCAGAGGAGGGAAGGTCGAATATTTTTCTTCTGAACTTTGTTCTATTTGGCTCAGTCCTTTCCTCTGACATGGGTTGAGGCTTGAATTCTGTCCTAAAACAGATCACCATCCTGGCTAGCGTGGAGTTTTTGGCAAACCTGAGTCCTAGAATTAGCAGTTCTCAGCACCAACTCCCTGTGCAGGACCTGCTTTCCAAAGGCGGTGGGCATGACGGAGCTGGGGAAAACATTTCTTTTTATTTATTTAGTGAACATTCTACAGGTGAAGGAGGGACAGGGACAAGCCATCCTTCAAGTCAGATCCCACCGTGCCAGGGCGCAGGGGAGGTCCAGTGGTCTTCCTCGAGGCTGCTGGGCCACAGGGTACCTCCATATCAACATCCCCAGAAATGAATCCGAAAGGAGCTGGAAGGAAGAATCCAGAGATATTTCAGGGCCCCATCAGGCCTGTTTCTGTAGGTAATAGTCGCAGCCGACTCAGACCGTGTGTGTGTGTGTCTGTGTCTGTGAGTGCCTGTATGTGTGTCAGTGTGTCTGTGTGTCAGTGTGTGTGTCTGTGTGTCTGTGAGTGCCTGTATGTGTGTCAGTGTGTGTGTGTCTGTGCGTGGGTGTGTATGAGTATCAGTGTGTCTGTATGTGTCTCTATGTGTCTCTGTGTGTGTCTGTGTGTGTGTGCGTGGGTGTGTATGGGTGTGTGTATGTCAGTGTGTGTGTGCGTGGGTGTGTATGAGTGTATGTGTATGTCAATGTGTGTGTGCGTGGGTGTGTATGAGTGTATGTGTATGTCAGTGTGTGTGTGTCTGTGTGTGCGTGGGTGTGTATGAGTGTATGTGTATGTCGGTGTGTGTCTGTGTGTGCATGGGTGTGTATGAGTGTATGTGTATGTCAGTGTGTGTCTGTGTGTGCATGGGTGTGTATGAGTGTATGCGTATGAGTGTCAGTGAGGATGCATGTGCACTCATGTACCTGTGTGGAGGCCAAAGAGCAACCTCAAGTGCGGTTCCTCAGGAACCATCTACCTTGTTTTTGTTTGTTGTTTTTAGACAAAGTCTCTTGCTGGCACCAGGGAGCCCTGTGACCAGCCTGTCTCCGCCTCCCCAGCCTGGGTATCGCAAGCATACGCCATTACACTCAACTTCTGCTATAGACTCCAGGGATGAAACTCTGGTCCTCATGACTGCACAGCATAGCAAGCCGTTCACCAATTAAGCTATTTCTCCAGCCCCTAAACTTTCTTTAAGCTTCTCTTAGCATCACCAGAAAACAAAAGGTTTCTGAATTTGGAGGTGTCGGAGCCAATAGAAAGAAATGGTAGCGATTTAGACACAGGTAAAAGGCAAATAGGGTTCCAGTGCCAAGGTTGTGTGGGGCTGTTGTGGAGGAAGAGGAATTCCCTCCGAGAGGACTGATCCCAAGAGAGACCTACGTAGGTTCTGCCCTAGCCACAGCCTTCTGATGGTAGTCACGATGGAGTCAGGAGCCTTCATCTCCATCCTTGTGGTTGGAAGAGGTATGGGCCCAGCTGGGCCAATCAGAATCACTCTGGAAATTTGGAGTTGAGCTGAGATACCACTTAAGGGTCCCTGAGGTTCAATCAAACATAACATAAACTGTTGGGAAGCTGTGACACATGACGGCCCCGTGTCTGACAATCCAGAGGTTGCTGGTGTGCAACGGAAGGTAGGCGTGGACGAGTAGAGAAGTAGGGTTAATGGAGGTAGAGATGGGTTGGAGAAAAGGAGAGAGAGGGAGAGAGAGAGAGAGAGAGAGAGAGAGAGAGAGAGAGAGAGAGGAGGGGGGGGACATGCAGCTGCCTGGGCTTCTGCCAAGGTTCCTGCTCAACCCCGCTCTGTTCTTTTTTTTTTTTTTTTTTTTTTTTGAGTTGGTTTGTAAAATTCTCCAGAGTCACCATCCTTCCTCCTCATCAAAATCATCTTGTCTGTGAGATCAAGGGGCAGCGTTAGGGGCAAGTGTGCCGGACACGTCACGGGATGCTGACTCAGCACAAGGAAGGCTGTTCTCGCCGGACTGTTCAGTCATAATGTGGACTACCTCTGGGGAGGATGCATTTGTTCCAAACTGGAAGGAACCGGAAGACTGACAAATGCAGCCTTGGGAACACAGAGGGCCATCATCTGGAGGGAGGCTGGAGCAGAAATCAGCGAGGTCTCTTCTGCTCTCAGGTAGAATTAGCTGCTTCTCTTGTGACATTTCTTTTGTCAGCTCTTCCTCTGGCATTCTTACACTGCTGAACAATGCCCCCCCCCCCGGCTTCTAGTGTATCTGGGTAATAGTGGGCAACACTCAGGTCAGATCTGAAGCCCAGCAGGTACCAGGAGATGTACACAGATGTTCTGGCCATTAGGAGTAATGTCTCTGAGGTTGCGCCAACCCCACGTATGGTTTGCAAACCCTGGAATCCTGTCATCTCCTGTGTTGGTTCTCCAAGATTGGCAGATTTCTCAGACACTTAGGTTTCACTACTTCTAAAAGAATCAGTGGAGGCCAGGAGACTCATGAGAGACATGGCGCTGTTCCAGCGGAGACTAGGGAGCCTTCCCTGCCTCCAACCTTGCTGGACAGCCCCTCCCCTTAAGAGTGCCTTACTTCATGAAATCTGGAGATTTGGCCATTGCATGCTCAAACTCGGAGAAGGACAGCATGTTGTCATTGTCCAGATCTGACTCGCTCAGGACCTGGTGGAAGGAAGGAGGCAGAGATAACCCCAGGAGATGGGTCTCAAGATGGAGAGACAGACAGCGTAGAGGAATTAGAGTATGGGAGGTGTCTCAGGGCCCCTGCTCCCCACAGAGTGGTGTGCACTAAGGTAGGGGTGCAGGAGGCATCACGGCTGGCCTTTTGGAAGAAGTCTCCTCAGCAGCCCTCAGCACCAATGAGGACAGTAGTCCCCGCTCACCCCATCAGCCAAACACAGGCATGAGCCCCGCATTGGGCGAGTCAGGCAGGAAGTGACACCATTCAGCCCTGGAATCCTCAGGGCCTCTCACAGCCTGAGAGCTCATGAGCCTGTGCCCCATCCCAGGTTTTCAGGGCTGTGCCCATGCCTTGCTGAGCAATGTGAGCACGTGAACGTTGCGATGTGTTCATGTCATGCTAAGCTGCGGTAGGCCCGGGGGGCCCTGGGTGACCCCTGTCGGTGGGAGGCTCTCAGGTGGGAAGGGAGGGAGATAGAAGACCCGTACTGGAAGAACAGACTTCTGAGGCAGGGTTCTCTCCGCTGTGTGCCCACTTCTCAGGCACCACGTGCTGCCCATCCCCCGTGGCGGCTGCTCGCCGGGGAGGGGCGGGGAATCTGTGCTGCCCACTCCAGGCTTGACCCTGGATCCCTTCCCAAGAAGATGGCCTGGGATCCTGGAGCTCTGTGGTCACCGGGCCCCTCGGGCCCCACCCTTCCGCTTCTGGATACACACGTGGTGCGTGATGTCCATCAGCAGATCCTCAGACACGTCGTCACTTTTCAGCAGCCTTAGCACGATTTTCTGGAGGTCTTCTTCGTCGATGAAGCCGTTCTCGTTAAAATCTGCAGAGAGGAGACGGAGGCTGAGTCCCGGGCTCATGGGCCCGACTCCCATCAGCCTCTGGGAGGCCACGGAGGGTCCACTTGCTCCGAGTGTGTCTAGAATCTGGGACATGAGGGGGCGCAGCTCGCTGACTTGTGGGGGTGAGGTGTGAAGCAGCTGGACCAGCTGTAGACAAGTAAGGCAACAATAATAGCAATAATTATAGACATTGTGCTCCTACTGTGTGCTCGGATGTATTCTCCTTTAAGTCATTGGGTCCTCACTGTTCACTGTTCACTGTTTTTATTGTCTTATTTTTGCCAAGGGTGCACCAAGGTTCAGGGGTGACATAGCTTGTCCGGTCGTCCAGGAAATGGGAGGGCGAAGTTCAAACCCAGCTAGGCTGGCCTGGCCGCACACTCAAGTTTATGGTCAGAGTAGAAGAGTGAAAGGTGGCCTGGGTTTGGGACCAAAAGCCTTGGGCATCATCCCATGCTTCTGTCCCTGTGTGGTAGCTGCCTGAAGGACCTGGGTGCAGGTCCTAGCTTCTCAGGGAAGTGCACGGAGGTTCTTGAAGTTTGCACAGCTAATGGGCTGGCTTCAAGAATGACAGCTGTTCCCTCACTGAGTCGGGGGCTGGAGCAATGCTCCCTACAGCTTGGCATCCTAATTCTGAGGACAGTGCCCAGCACAGAGCGGAGTCTCGATGAATGAAAGAATAAATGAATGAATGAATGTTCGACCTGGTAAGTGATGGGGACATGACTAAACTCCACCATTTAGACATTACAGGAAATCTGGGCTCTTTACCCTTCATGGCTGTCTCTATCACAGAAAATCACTAATTTTTAGCTGGACAGAGGATCATTTAAATAAAACAGTTTCCCAGGCTCCCTTGCTGCAAGAGGTGGCCAAATGGCTAAGCTCTGCCCAGTGACATATTAGCAGAAGAGGGCAAGTGACTTATGGGAAGGTCTTTGAGACAATGAGGTCACCATGGGACTAGAAGGCAAAGCAACAGGAAAGAGGAGCCTTGTTCCTTAGTGTTACAGAGCCTTAGGACCACTGTGAACAACCACTTGTGGCTTCTCCACAAGATATATATTTAATCCCAGTTCATTATTTGAGCCTCACTTTCCCTGTTTGTAAAATGGGTACAATAGTTGTACCTCTCCACTGTGAAGGTTAAATGGGAAATACATAGCCATCCCTTGGCATGAGTCTAGAATACAAAAGACTCCTGTTAGCTGTAGGCAGGGCTTAATTCTCCATCAGGTGCTTCGTTGTTAAGTACTAAAAATGAAAACCTGAGAGGCTGTAACATCCCACCTTGAAGAATGGCCAACAGAGCTAGTGGGTTATTAGGGAAACTGAGGCCCAGAGTCTGCTGGTACCGCAGAGTCCTTTTATGGCAGATCCAAGAACTATCTGCCCCCAAAGGCAGAAAGTGCATATGGAAGGTGAGGTATGTCTCTGACTGTATTTCTCGGTCTGTACTGGAGCCCCAGTCTGAGCTGATCTTGGGCGCTCTCCCTGCACCCAACGTGAATCAGCAGAGCAGGTGAAAGGGGTGGGGAGGCCCCACGGAGGAGGCACTGAGCAGGCACCGAGCAGGCGCAGTGACACCACACTGCCAGTAAGAAGCTCCTCTGCAGCCTCTCCCCAAGCCCTTGCAGTGTGCCCAGGCATCCTGCTGGCCTAGCTCCCATATGCAGAGACTACAGAAAATGACATGGCTTTGGTCCCAAGCCATCTGAAAACAGAATCATTTGCTAGAGTAAATGTAGTCCTGGGTGGTTCCTGTCCTTCGGGGATGCAAGGGCAGAGCAGTCTGGGAAGGGCTAGGGCTGGGGAGTCTGCTCACTGGCTGGGTCCCAGTCTATGCTGATACGGTCGTCTTAGAACTCGCAGCCTGTGACCGACCCCTGGGTGGGTGTGGGGGCCTCACACTGTAAGCTTAGAGAACTGGATTGGTTAAGGTTTAGCCTCCAAGCCCCTCCTAAACGTGCTTGCCACGAAATGAGCTAAAGCTCATTGCTTGCAGACCAATGGCAGCTTCAGTAGTTTCCCTAGGCTTCCTCAGCAGCCAAGCCTAGCCACTGACATCCCTGACATTGGCTCAGGTCTCAGGAAGGTGTGGCAAAACCTGCAACTTGCTTTCTGCCTGAGAAGCCATAGCTGGTGCCACCTGGATTAGAAAGGCGTGGCTGAGACATCGGTCTCTGACAGTTGATAAATCTTCCTGAAGGTATGGAGAGATGTGACATTGATCACACCGAGGGCAGAATATCCCTCGGGGCAGAAACTGGTGCCCAGGAGGTGAGTTCCAGGCCTCAAGGTGCTGTCGCCTTGCTGAGACATTCTCAAAGCAGTTCTTGTTCAAGATGACCCCGGGGTTCAGATGAACATACACGATGGCTTTCCCGTCTCCACTGCAGCCATAGGTGGCCTATGACATCATTCTGGCCCCGGAAATATAAACTGAAGTATCTTGGTGGTGTTCCAAGAAAGCTTGGGAAGAGCTGACTTATTTGTGTCTTTGAATGTGGATTTCACTTTTCTTCTTTCCCCCATTCCCTCCGTACCACTCTCCCTGCCTGGAATAAAGATGAGAAGTCTGTGGGCACAGGAGGACAATAGGACAACAGTCTCATACCAGGACTTTACAGTTGAGGAAGCATAAAGGATTCTGGGCCCTTGCTTGCTTTCTCAAGTCATCAGTCCAGCTCTAGACTGCCTGGCTCCAGACTTCTGTCTCTGTCTCTCTGTCTCTCTGTCTCTCTCTCTCTGTGTCTCTGTCTCTGTCTCTCTCTCTCCTTTCATTTGTTTATTGTTTGTTTGTTTATAACCAGGGACACTGCTACCTGTAGCTGGATACAATCCTAACAGATACAGTAATACAGCCAGCTAGAGAAGGAGCCTCCAAACCTGCCCAGGGGGGCTTTGCAAAAGCCCGGAGGCCAGGAGATACCATTCCGTCAAGTTGTTTCTCGCTTTGATTTAACTCCCAGGTGGCTGCAGTATGCAGTCAGGTTTGGGAGGCAGGAGGATAATGCATGGCTTTCTAGACCTTTCAGGGGCTGAGATTGGTGGGGGCACAAGGGGTGTATCTTGCTAAGATGGAGATTTGATTCAGAGGTGTAAGTGGGGCCAGAGGGTCCACATCTTTGGTCCCCTTCTGAACCTTACCCGGAGTCATCAGGTCAAGAGCATCAAGAGGTCTTTGGAGTTTCACAAGATCTACTACCATGACCATTACCAACACATTGGTCTCCTCTGTCTGCCTCTTTGCTCTTCCTTTTAATTCCTCTTCTTCCTTCCTTATGGGCTTACTTCAGACTTACTGGGCAGCTTCTGTGTACCAGGGACTAGATGCAAGCATCCCAGAGTTCTGTCTCACACTAAGCTGACAGCTGCCTATGGTCACAAATCGTCAGAACCCAAAGACAATTCTGATTTGTCTGGGTGTCCCGAATGCAGGCTGGGGCACCAATCCCAGGCATCTATTTATACTGAAGATTAAACTGAACTTTTGAAGGCTCTCTGTGCTTGTTGTGCTTGGGGAAGGGGAATAACTGTGTGTGTTAGGGGCTTGGAGACGGATGAAGCCAGATACAAGGACACTGGGGTGGAGTGGAGTGTCGTCTGGTCCTGACTTGACCCCAACCACTCAGTCTGACTTCTGAGCACTGAACATTCCCATTTATAAAGCTAAGCAAAGTTGGCCCTGTGTCTAGAAGACGCTTGTGGGCATCTACTATCCTCATGGGCTTTGGGGGCTTTGTTTATTAGACTCTGGAAACCATGGGAAGATGGTAGAGCACTCTTCCCCCTTCTTCCCCTCCCTCCCTCCTTCTCTCCCTCCCTCTCTCTTTCTCTCCCTCTCTCCTTTACTTCCTTCCCTCCTTCTGTCGAGACAAGGCCTCAAGTACCTCAAGGGGCCTTGAACTCACTAAGTATGGGAGCATGACCTTGAACTTCTGCTTCTTCCAGCTTTCTCTCCTGAGTGCAGAGATTAGATTTCAGGCAAAAAGACCCAGCTTTTTCTGTCTCTGAGAAATGTCTTCTGGGGCCATTTTTAGTCATGAGACTCTGCTTTTCTTTTGGCCAGAGGTGACTGGACAAGGCTGATCCTCCAACCATGGTATCAGATCATTGGCTTCGCTGAGCCATTCAGCGCCTGCTGAGAAACTGAAACTGTGGCCAGTTGCTCAGTGTAGGATCTATAGGCCATGTGGGCACGAGGGCAGTCATCTTTAGTTCATGGACACAGATGAATAAACCTCAGGTCTGGGAAGGAAGAGGTTTGCTCCGCAGCTGTGCAGAGAAGCTGCCTGGCTTTCTGGCAACTTCTTCACTCTATCCCAGGCCTTCCCTTCTTTCATGGGGTCCGTACCTTTGTCTGTGGACATACTCCATACGAGACAGATGTCTGGAGCTAGGGTTGATGGTACTTGGCTTTTAATCCCAGTACTCTGGAAGTGGTGGCAGGAAGATCAAGACCTTCATGGTATCCTCAGTCTCACACTGAGTTTGAGGCTAGCCTGGACTACATGAGCTCCACACCTCTTGGTGTGGATGCTTTTGTAGAACCCTGGTGCTGTTTGGTGTGGCGAAGACTGTAACCTGCTTCCAGCCAACAGAATTTGGCAGGCATGACAGGATGGGTGTCACTTCCGGGGCCAGGTCATGCCATGGAAGACTCCATTCTAACAGGAGACGGTTCGAGGGCTGTTCCCTGCCCCCATTATTTTTGAAGACAAGTGGCCATGCTGGGAAGGCTATGTGACAAAAGGGTTGGGGTGGCCTTCAGATGCTGAGGCAGCTCCTAACCAGCACAAAGCTGGGGGTCAAAGGTTCATGAACACAAGAACTGTATTCTGCGAGTTGCTTGGCCAGAACTTTGGCTGGAATTTTGTGAGACTCTAAGATATGGGATCCTTTCTTATTCCAGCACTGGGAAGATAGGGGCAGACAGATCTCTGTGACTTCCAGCCCTCCAGGACTTCATAGTGAGACC